ACCCACCCCTGGAAGCCCCCTGCTTACCCCGCAAGAGGGGAGCAGCAGGGGCTCCACATCTGCACTCGCATCCCCTCCGCTTCTCGCTGTCACATCTGAGCCCAAATCTATTTTGCAGAGCGCTGCTTTGTAATGACCTCTCCTCAAAGTGCCTTTTAACAGCTTAAATACTTCTGCAGGGAAGCTCTCGCAGCCCACGCGGCTCCACGGGCCTCCCAGCACCCGGCTCTGCGCCCCACATGAGCAGGGACATCTTCACGCCTCCATCCCTCTGCCTGCAAACGGGACTTTGTGTGCCAATAGCATCTTATCCCAGTACATCCCGGGAGTGTGGAGAGGGGAAAGGCTCCTGAGCGCCTCCAAAAGCGGAAAGCCCCGTGCACAAGCCAAGCCTTCACTGCAAATGTGAGCAAGAAGCCAAATATTTTCCTTTTTCTGCACGCACTGATGAGGGACTGAGGCTTTGTGTTTCTCATCCCCAGCTCAGTGACTTCAGATTTATTTTTTTTAAGTGAGTCCCTTAGCCCTGCGGCGTCAAGCAGTTGGATATTTTAATTTCTGAAGGTACCCATGGAGCTGGTGTTATCCCGAGTGACTCCAGCTGGAATTCCAGGTGCTTTATTTTATGCACCCAAAATTAATTGAACTTGGGGGGGGGGAGGGGGGGATGAGAAGTGTTGCCTGAGCCTTTCAGTGCCTCAGTTTACCTATAAAACGAGGCTGACAAAGAGCAGCCGGCAGCAAGAACACCCTGTTATTTGTAAGCGGTATTAAACATCCCTTCCGAGACTGGGGAATGTGGGACTAGGAAATACTTTGATTATGGCTCAGCAAATCCCAGCCAAGCAAAAATAACAAGCAACACATGAGCGGTGTTTTGTGGGCTTACGGCGGGGTCGTGAACTCGCAGCCAGACAATAACCAGGAAAAATTAATCCAGGCTGAAAGCCTGTTTCCCACTCGGTGGCTATTTTGGGAGCTGGCTGCAACTTCTTCGGTGCTGGGTTTGGGATGGGATGCGTCCCTCTTTCCCCGGGACACGCGATGCTGGGAAAGGGGGGGTTCCAGCAGCTGGATCCTGGCAGCAGGGTGGGTTCGGCATCTCCCCTGTCCCCTCTCGGGCAGGGGCTGGGGGAGCCGGCACAGGACAGAGCCACGGGAGATCAAACAGCCCTTTGCAAACAAAACATGGTCCCGCCTCAAGCCCCCCGCTCCACCATCCCTGTAACCCTGCCCCAAAGCCGTCAGCTGGGATGAGGAAGGGAGAAGCGGGACACGGGGAACCCCATCCCCACCGATGTTTCCCAGCCTGCAGCCTCTGCGCCTTCATCTGCCCATCAATTAATTTCCACCTCACACTCAATCACAGCCACTCTTAATTACACCGCCTTAATAACACAGCAAAATTATATAACCACTAGCTGCGACAAAGGGGAAAAACTTAGCAGGGTTGGTTGCTTTTTTTTTTCCTTCTTCCTCTTACCTACAAAAGCCATAAACCCCCCAATTAAGGAGAGTCTCGTCCTCTCACCGCAGAGCCACCAGCTGAGCTGCGGTCCGGGGGCGAGGCGAGGGCTTGATAGCCGTGGGTTAAGGGATTTGCAGCTGGTTGGGAAGAAGAGAGAGAGTTGCAGCTTACCGAAACCTCCCCTGCACCGCCGTCGAGCCGGGCTGCGCGCGAGCCTCCCCGCAGCCCAGGCGGCGAGGTTGCTTATATAGCCCGGCGTGTAGCTTAGGGGATGGCAGCGAGCCACCGGCCGCCGAGCAAAAACAGATCGGACGAGCGAGGAAACCGCAGGCTGAATAATCCCGTAACAAGGTGATGGTAAACACAAACCCTCGGCGAAACGGCAGCCGCCGGGGCTGGCAGCGATGCCACAGCATGGCAGGGGCTACCGGTGGCAGGGCAGGGCATAGTGTGGGTACCACGTCCCGGTGTGGGTACCATGTCCCGGTGTGGGCACCGCATCCCGGCACAGCACCATCACTGTTTGGGGTTCACCCTGGGTCCAGATCCAAAATAGATGCTACTGAGTGTTAAAGACGGACATACAGCGTACAGGCACATGGTGCCATGAGTTTTGAGGATGTTTTTTGGCTCTTGCCTGGTCTGGGACAAACACGGTGCCCACCCAGCGCTGCCTGTGGGGTTCCCATGTTTTGCAGGTGCAGGGCAGGGCTCGGCTGGACACCGTCCCCTGCACTGCCCGCGCTGCCTGCACTGCCTGCTCGACTCTGCCCTCGCGTTGGCTCCGGCAGGGGTCAAATGAGGATGCTGCAGGGATGCGAGGACATGGGACAAAGCTGCATGCGTGGTTTGGACACCCAGGGTGGCACAGAGCCGCAGAGGAAGGGCACGTCTTGCAAGTAAATGTGACTACATCTCGGGTGAGCCATGGGGAGATCCAACAAAAGCCCCTAAAGAGAGGTCCCCGCCTGCCCCAGGCTGGCTTCAACCCCCCCAGGTCCTTTCTCCCTCTGCAGCCACGTTATTCCCACGTAGTTTATGGAAGCTGGTCCTGGCTCGGGGCTCCTGGGTGTCGCACGAGGCGTGCAGCTGTGTGCGAGTGAGTTCCAGCCACGCATGCAGCCCCCGTGGCCCCCCACAGCGTGGGGCCGTGCTGCCGGTTTGCTGCGGGAGCCTGGCGTGAAAGCCTGTGTGCGCGGTGCGTGGCGGGAGCCATCCCGGAGGGATGGGGATGGGCGCCGGGGCGGGCAGTGGCGAGCGGGATGTGCCGCCCGTGTCCTGGGCTGCCTCTTAGTAATCCTTGCCGGCCCCGCTGCCAGAGGGAGCGGCGCGAGAGGAACATCGATCAAGGTGTCACATAAAAAATACTTGGCGGTGGCCTACACCAGCTCCTGTTGGTGTTTACTAGGGAAAAGGAAAAAACACCTGAGATGTGCCAAAAAATGGTGAATATTTATCCGGTGGGCAAGGAGCGCCTGGCAAGCCGGAGGCCCTGCACCTGCAAGGTAAACATGGAGCTTGTCCGCTTTTCCCCGCCGTGATGAGGACGAGATGTGGGAAAGATGCTGAGACCAAGAGCAAGGAATTCATCTTCCCTGGATGTCACCCGCCTCCCGCCACGGCCGGCCCGTACCTGGCACAGCACCGATGCCGCGGCAGACGGCTCCGGTCCCGCCGGCTGCTTGGCACGTGCTGGCATCGATTTCCACGGGTCACACTGCAGCGTACGTAAATGTGTTTTTCTGCGGAAGGCAAAAAGATGTTATTCTTCATGTTACGTCCAGTGCAGCCCACATGTTTCTGCATGGGATTTTGCAGTCTCCTCAGCATAGGTGTCTCCTCCCCGGCGTGGCTTCTGCAAGGCCAGCTCAGGAGACACGTGTGCGGCTTCATGAACAGGTCGGGACGAGTGAGTTCATGCAAAAACCAAGTCTCTAGAACAGTCTGGTTGCGCAATCTCTCTTGGCTTGGCCATCCCTTGCTGCAGCTCCGGCATGTGGCTGATGTTGGATGGAGCACGAGGAGCAGAGCCCCAGATGTTTCCAGCGCTGAGTACCACCAGCTGCACCGTGTTTCTGGGAGATGCTCGGCTGCTTTCCGTCCACCCGAGGTAGACGATAGCCCAACCTGTGGGGCAGAGGGGACAAGCAGGTGCTGCCCCATGCCCAGGGTGGTTGCTCTGCGGGGGTTTAACACCCTTGGCTGGTGAGGAAGGATGCAACCCAGACCAAAGGCTGGTGTTGCCCAACCAAACTGTTGGCGCAGTGTAGCCATGGCCCCACAGATGTGTTCACCTCCCGGATCAACCCCCAGAGGTCCTACCCGGCTCTCATGGGATTTTTCCATGATTTCATCACCAGTGTGTAATTACAAAGCCATGATACATTTATGCAAATGCTGCCATGCTTAACGGCTCCCCCCAAGCCAGTGCCCCAAGTGGGGCAGTGTAAGAGGACTGTGATGCAGTGCAAGATGGTGCAAGAGCACCTCCCTCTCCACCCTCCTCCGTGGTTGTCTCCATCGCTCTTCTCCTGTCCCTCTAATAAATCCAGGAGAAAACAGGCTACTGATGCTCATCCCAGCTATGCGTACCTCCCCCTCTTCCCGCCATGGCATTGGCAAAGTCACCGTCACCGAAAGCCAACTGCACTGCACCAGGATGGTGATGTGGATGGTGGGTCTGCTCTCAGGGCTGTGCGTGGGGTTTACAGGCTGTGGGGTCTGTGTAGTACTCTGTGGGGTCTGTGAAATACCCTATGGGGTCCGTGAAACGCCCTTTGGGGCCGACGCCGTGCTCAGTTCCCCGCTGGCGGCCCCCGTCCTCCCTCTCCGCACCCTCTTCACCGACGGGAGCTGACAGTTATTTTCCCCTCCTGCATGTTTCTGGGCTCTCTCCTGTTTACGGAGATGGGAGTTAAAATAACTGATTGATGACTTTGTTCCATCCCAAACACTTTGGGGAAGTTTGCTTGGTTTAGGAGGGCGAGCTAGGAGCTGGGATTTCATTAAGCACTTGGCTCCCGGCTCTCCTCCAGCCATGCTCCAGGGGTGGCTAATGTTGTTTTTTAAATCCTGTTTTGCTATCCCGGGAGCCGGACTGGCGATTTCCATGGTTTGTAGGAGAACTTGGAGATGTGGCGGGTCCCCGGGGTTCACTCTGAGCTCTGAACCACCAGCAAACCTCGCAGCCACCGCAATATTGTTTCACTTAAGCCCTCCTCCACCGCTTCATCAGCACAAAATCGCACTCCAGCTGCCTAAAAGCTTTGGAAAAAAGCCCAAAAAATGAACTACTGGAGTTTGTTTTGATTGTGTGGATGAGGATTTACAGGCTGTGGCGGGGAGAAAAGGAGCGAGCGGACCTTTCCCCCCCTGGAAGGATTTGCTTGGGAGCTAAAGCCTTGACTGCGGCTCAGCGGTGCTCAGCTCCATGTACATCATTTATGAAACAGATGCAAAAAGCGCCGCAGAGGGGGCCACGCCATGAAAGCCAGGAGCCAGGGAAAGACTGATTTTAGCTCTAGATGTCAGGAAGGCTTTTTCGGGGGGAGGAGGGTGAAAGGGGGAGGGCAAGCGGCTGTGACCGTATTCCTCATGGGGTGCGACCACGGGGTGAGCCCCCAGATGTCTGCTGGCACAGGCACAAGAGGATTGTCCCCTGTGAAGTGTAAAACTGGGGGTGTCCCCTGCTCTGTGATCACATCTGTCAAGGAAAAGGGCTTTTCCTGGCACTTTTGCAGGGCACAGCTGTTATCTGAGTGCCCAGGGAGTGTTAACTGCATCCCTGCTGCACGCGTACGGCCCTGCATCCAGACCCACATCTGGAGAGGGGTTTGCTGGTCTCTGGGGTATCCCGGACCGCTGAAGGGTCCTGCCGGGGTTTCACTCCTGGATGCCGTGTCTGTCGCTGCTGTCTCTCCTTCCCATCACAGCTCAGAAGAGCAGAGAGGGGAGATGCTATGAGAGCGCCAGAAGTGTCTCAATAGCGAGTCCCTTTTTAATTACATTGCTGAGCTGGGGAAATTAGGATAAGTATTCTGGCTCATTTAGAAACTCTCTGCGAGATGGAGAAGGCCATTATTTTTGAGCCCTCCATGAGCAATGCACATCCCAGCCTCCTCCTGCGCTGTGCCTGGAGCATTGCCTCCTTGAGGACACTCGCAGGGCAGCATCGTGGTACCATGTGCCGGTACAACAGCCGATATTTGCTGGGAACATCCTGCTGGCAGATGCGGGCTAGCGGCAGGGCCTGAATTATTGCACAACCTCGGATCAATGACGGAAACGCGGTCGCAGGACGTGAACGAGCGTGATGGGAACATGGTGAGGTCTGAGCCAGGGCAGTGCCTCAATGGGGACATTTAAACCGCGGAGCAGGAGCAGAGCTCCAACCCACAGCCTGCCGGCTGTTTGCTTTAGCTCTGGACAGGGTTTGGTGGACAAAGACCATCCTGTGTCAAAGCACATGTTGCCTTGGGCAATTAATTGCTCCTGAAGAAATCCTTAATTTATTGCTCTTATTTACGGGCATTAGTCGTGGGCTCGGACACGCTCCGGGCTGTGCACCCGTGCTGGCGGGGAGGGCGGTTTCCCACCCATGGGATGACAGTCCCTGGTCTCATCTGCTCCTTTCCCACCTCGATTTTTTTGCTATAGACCATGTCAAGGTGGGCAGGTTTGAACCTGATTTACACCAGCAAAGCTCTGGCCAGTTTTTCCAAAAAAAACCAAAAAGGCAAAATCCTGCATGACCTGCAAGGGTGCTAGGGAGGGCTTGGGTCTTCTGGAATGCTGCGGTTGGTCTCCCTCCCTCTCTGCAGGGATTCCCGGCTGACGTGCACCGGCAGCGCATAGGCTGTGCGAGCTGGACCAGAGGATCCGGTGTCGGCAGCGAAACTGGAGCATCAGGCTAAAAGCTCTGTTTTAGTGTGCAGATGAGCCTCTGCTTGGGCTGGGGAGAAAACATGCAAGGGATGGAGCCGGGCGGGCGGCAGGGACTTCTTGTTGGACCACGCGTGAATTCGTTTCAGGTTAATTATTGCTCAGAGCTGAGCCTGGGCTGGGGTAATCGGCACCGATCAGCCTCCGAGTTTCAGCTCTGAAAGAGTTCGCCAGCATCCACGTTGGTAAAAGACAGCATGGAAATGTCTCCTCTTCCCGGTGTGCCTGTGCTCATGGGATCAACCGGAGCCTTAAAATATCTCACGACCTCGTGCATCATGCCAAAGGTACGCTCGGAAAAGTCGGTCTCTGCCGAGCTAATTCCAGCACTGTTGGGATTCCCCCTGGGGTGGTCGTGGACATATCAACTTTCGCCGGAGGATAAGTGTGTGTTTTGTGGCAGAAGTGTTTGGCAGGGGCCAAGCACCGCCGAGGGGAAGGGCTGGCGACCGCCCGGTGTGACCCGCTGAGATGAAAACTTCCAGGAGCAGGTTGGGAAGGCAGCACGGGAGATAAGCCCTTCCTGAGAGAAACTCGGCGTTGAGCTCCCGGCGTCGGATCGAGCGCTGCCTCCCAGAAACGCCTCCCCGGGAGCCCAAAACTGGCCACGGGGAGATGTCAGTACCGATGCTCATCCCAAGGGATGCCAGGGTCCCGCAGTCCCAGGGCTTAGCTCAGAGAGGGTTTCTTGCAGGAGGGTAAAAACAGGGTGGGGGAGCAGAAATTACACCCCTCCGCTTCATTTAATTCAGCATTAATGACATCTCTCCCCACCGCGACACTGATACTTTCCTAAAAGCAGTCGTGTCCCCGCATAAAGCTCACCCAAGGGTGTTTTTAAGCCTTCAAAACTGCTTGGAGATATGAAGCACAGGGGAAAGAGGTGTCAGGGAGGTTTTCCCCGCTCCTTGCTCCTGCAAGCCCTGGGTAACGCTGCTGAGAGCCCCGCAGGGCTTTCAGCGCTCCCCACATCTCACCTCTCCTGCAGCGAAATGAAGGAAACCAGCCCTCGAGTCTGGCCCATCTTTGGGAATGAGCGTCCAAAGGGAGCGCTGAAACTTGGCCTTGGGGCACACAATCCAATTTGGAAGCAGGGAGAGAGGAGGATATTTGATGTTTGGAGCAACACGATGGGCAGGTCCCACAGGGAGTAAAAAAAAAGCAGAGGATAAAAGAGGGCACGAAAGGCAAAGACAAGGAGAGCAACTAAACCCCATCCAAAAATAAGGGCGAAATTCTTCACTTCCATGGGTTAGTCACAATGAAAACATTGGGATTTCATAATTTCTTCCAGCTCAAGAAAAATACCCAGCAAGGGCAGTGAAAGCCCTGGCCGGGTCGGTGCATGCCAGAGCCGAAGGGGACCCATGGCCCCTCCGTTGACTCCATGGGTGATCTTCCTGGTTTAAAGGGGACAGAAGCGTCACGGCACGGGGGTGCCGGGTGAGACTTCCCAAATAAATTCCCCTGACTGAGGTTCCCAGCCTGGGAAAAGAAGGAAAGCTGCTGTGGAAAAGATGCACCATGGGTGGAGCAGCGATGCATCCATCCGGGTTTTATTGCTCGGCAGTGAGCGGACGGGGCTCGGCACCAAAGCCCACCACATTTTCTGGAGTTTGACCTCAGAGTTTGCTCTAGGTTGATATATTCCCCCTTCTCTCTTGTCTAGGTTAGAGAAGGGGAAGGGGAATTTTGCTCTGGTTGAGATGTCCCAGTGAAAGACGGAGGAAAGACCCCAAGAGCTGCTGCTCTGTGTGGGAAGATGTAAATTTGGGGAACATCTGGGAATGATGTTCTGGACATTTGGGCTCCCCTGCCAGCAGGGTCCTTGTCCTTTTACCCATCCCAGCTGGGTCCGTGATTTGGACACCCGGCATGATGTGCTGGGCTCAGCAACACCAGGAGCACCAGCCGGGGTATTAGAAGATGGGAAATGCAGCAGGTCTGAGTGCCGAGAGCATGTTTTTCTCAGCACTGCTGTCTCATGGCATGACACCCCCTGAAGAAGGGTTTTTACCAGCGAGGGCTCCAGCGAGGCTCCGATGTACGAAGCTGAATCACAAACAGCGTGTTATTTCATCAAGAAACAATACAAAGGCACAGCTTGCCAAAATCTTGAGCCCGGTGGGCAGGAGAGATCCCTCCCTCTGCTTTAAACAAGGACTTTTAGGAGGATGACCCAGCTTAGCCCCATGAGGGACAGCAATTATCGTCCCTCTTGGCAGGCTCGGCAGAGCGGCCAGGGCCGGGTGAGCAGGCAGAATGAGATGCTGGTTTCTCCCCAGCGACCGCTGAGCTTTGGTCCTCTGCCTTTTGCTGCAAAGATTTGGGGGAATTTAGGGCGATGCCCTGTGACGGCCGATGCCCGGGGGCTGTCGGTAGCATACAGCTGGAGGCAGCACCGCGTGCAGCCCCGGTGCTGGTTTTTTAATGAGAAGGATGAAAACTGGGAGCTTCACAACTGCTTGCCTTGTGAACTTTGGGTAAGAAGAGAAGCCGTTCCAGAGGTGAGCTCATTTCTAACCCCGGGAAATGACTTCATGGACGCTGGTATTTACTCACAAAAACACCGCATGTCAGATGTCCCTGACTAGACTTTCTGTTTCGAGTCCAGTATGAGACAAAAATTTCCTTGGACGAGCTGCTCCTGAAACAATTCAAGGCTTGGAGGAGGAGAAGAATTGGAGGGGGGGAAAAAAAAAATTAAAAAATCAGCATTAAAAACTCTGAAATCATGAGTTTTTTTCTGAGCAAAGGGGAAATTTTGGACAGCAGAAGCACCTGCCTGGGGTGATGGTGCTGGGTGCGAAGGCACAAACGATGGGTGCTGCCATAGGAGGGCTCTGCTGGAAGAAGAGCCATCGCTACCCCCCTGTAACGCCCAGCAGCAGGAGTTTCTCTCAGAGGTGAAGAGACAAATTTTTCTCTCTTTTGTGAAGCCAAAACCCTGGCGGTGATTTATTAGGATAAACAGCAGCAGGCTCCCTGCCTGCATTTGCGCTAGGTTAATGGAAATTATATCCCGTGCCGCTTTCCCTGCGTGAGATCCCTATTTATACGGGATGTCCGATGGAAAAACACAGTGCTTATGTTTCTTTTCAAGGGCTGCTTTTGCAAAAAAAAAAAAAAAAATGCCACTGGGGCTGTGCTACCTGGTGTGGCTTTCTAGTTTCTGTTTTCTCCAGCATCCTGGGATGATTTGTATGGATTTGGGGAGAAAAAATCCCATTTTGGGGAGCCTGGAGATGCTCTGGCTCCCTGTGAACCAGCACTGGGCTGCAGCTCCGGGGATGTACTGGGGCAGCATCCCAAAAGGAGGGGATTTCGGAAAGAGCCGAGCCGGGGTGTATGGAAACAAGCCCTGCCTGCCAGCGCTGTTTCCTAATCCCGGGGACCAAAAAAACTCTGATTGTTAAACCAGTGTTCAGAGATTCAGCTGAAGGCTGCTGAGCAGACGACATCCAAGCTGACCTTTGAGGAGACGAGCAAAAAAAAAGAAGAGAAAACACAAGGGGGTTACTGTGCAAACGCCGGAGAAAAATAGTCATTTTAATAAGGGACCCCACCCTTAAAAGAAGACTTATTGCTAATGCATGCCCAGGACATTTCTGCGTGATGGCATGCTAAAAAAATCCTCTCTGAACAGGGACCAAAGGCTTTGTTGTGGCATTAGCAAGGCTTACAGTTCCTAAGAAAAATCCTGTCCCTCTCTTGCATCATACAGTCGGGGACGGAGAGGACATTTCTAGACAAAAAGGCAGCCAGCCGGGAAGGAGGACAAACAGGGAATACATTCCTGACTCACTATTTAATTGCTTTCGTGCAGGTGCAAAGAGCTAAATGAAAGGAAAAATAAGGATGAGCATGTGGGGCCGAAGTAACCTCGGCTTTAACCAGGAGGCTAAATGCAAGGAGGAGGTGGCTGCTGTAACAAACGGGCCTCCACCCAACTTCTTTATGGTTTCTGTGCTTTTTTTTCCCCCCTCCAGGGACCAGGCTTTGTCCTGTGGCACTGGTGGGCGATGCCCCTGCCAGGCAAGGAGGTGATGGGGACGGTCCCCTCCTGTGTGGCAGAGGTGGCTGGTGCTTGCTGGGTGCCTGCTGGCAGTGCCGGGGCTGGGTCTGCTTTGCTCTTTCTCCACGGATGTAAAGCATTTTGAATGCATAAATTGCCCTCTGCGGCTCTGTGCAGAGTTCCCCGCCTGGTCCCTTTTGGTGGTTAAATGCAAAAGCGACGGCGGGTTTAGGGGGTCCGATGGACGGTGATGCCTCGAGGGCTGACGTGGTCCAGCGGCTGCAGCATCTCCTGGGTCTCAGGAGCTGGTCTCTCTGCCACACAATTTGACTCTTAAACCCACAAAGGGGAAAAAGTCCTTTTTTGCTGTTCCCAGGAGGACTCCTGCAAGCAGAGCAACCTCAGAGACGGTGCAACATCCCCTCAGAGCTCAGGCATTTCCTTCCAAAAATAAGTGGGAATAAGCTTAACGACGGAAAAACTCCTATCCGAGAAAGCTGAACCTCGTCCTCTCAGGGAACAAGGCAGAGCCACTGCCGCCAGCCTGGGACCTGTGGTCGCCCTGTACACCGTGAACTTCTTCATTTAATAGACTGGGAGATGTGAAGGTCTGTTCGCATGCAATTAAAGTCCCCGCGATGCCCCTGGGAGCGTGTTTGATGGCATTGGCTCTGGCGGGGTTTGGGGCTGTCATCCCCACAGCTCTTTCGCTGTTGCTGGCCGGAGGAGCAGGGTGTCCTCAGTTTCCCTCCCTGTCCTTGCATTGCACATCATATTTTTTAAGCCTTTGTGAGCTCTTTGTCCCTCCAAGGGTTTCACGCTGCCCATCGAGCTCTCACTGCGTTAATGCTGAAAGAAATACAAAAAGAACAAGGTGGGAACTGACAGAGTGCAGAAAAAAAAAAAAAAAAGTATATTCATTAAAATGGCAAGATGACCTAAGTTTCTCCTTATTAATTCCCTCCTTTACAGCATTTCCAGTCCAGGCACGTATCTGTGTTCATCCCTGATGCTCCCATGGACCTATGTGGTCCAGGAGCATCGCTGGGGCGTGTGTGTGCGCGCGCGTCTGTGTGTGCTGCGAGTCTCCCGGTTGTCTGAGCAACGGGATGTTCATCACTAACTCCAGGGATAATTAACTCATTTTCCTGTATTTATAGAAAACCGATGCAGGGAGTGTTGGCACCTATCCCTGATGGGGCCACATTTGGCCGCAACATCTAGAATTTTGGCCGTTTCTTGCAATACGGCGGCTTTGTCATCATCCCCGCTGCCTGCTCATTAAGCCTGAAATCGGGCAGCTCGTTAAGCCCACAAGGGCAGGGGTGCCGGCCCCTGCCCGGGGGTGAAACACCAGCAGCTGGCCGGAGCCGGGCTGCCCGTGGGTGCCCACCTCCACGTGCCCCGCTCCTGCTTTACCAGCACAGGGGATGTCTGCATCAGCGTTGCCACCTCCAGATGCCTGTGCTAAAATCAGCGTAGCTGCTGGCTCGGCCGCTGGCAAGGGGAAATTTTGCCGCTTCGAGGGGTTTGTTGCAGGGATGTGATGCAAAGACGAGTCGGAGCATCCTGACTCGGCACCGCGGCAGTGGGAGACCCGTGGGGCAAAACAAGGAGCATCTTCTCTTGGCATCAGGGCATGCGTCTACCAGGTATGTTCCCATCAGCTGGGACAAATCCAGACCTCGACATGGGTTTCCCCTTGTTTCTCCCAGACAGCCAGCAAGCCGCTCGGTACTTTTAAACTGCTTTTTCTTTTCGCTGCTTGTTTGTTGGGTCGATTTTTGGGGAGGGAGGGGGGGTGAAGGCGGTGAAGGGGCTTGCTCTCAGCGGCTCGGGGTGCGGGTGGTGGGGCTGGAGGAGGGCGGTTTGCTGCAAGGTGTCGGTACCTCCATCCCACAGAGCTGGGCAGATCTCTGCTGCTCGTGGTATTTGTGCAAAAGTGGGAAATGTTTTATTTTGGTATCAGCAAACTAGAAGGTGCTTGAAACGGTAAGAGACGTACCCGACCTGCGGCTGGGACTGTTAACAGTGTTCCCGAGAGCTGGAAGTATTTGCCCTTGAATCGTAAGTTGTCCCCAAGCTGGTTGTGCTCAGGCAAAAAGGGCAATTAAATCAAGCTGTGGGGGACCACCACACTGCTCATCACCCCCTAAGAACCCCCTGCGTGGATGTGTTTCTAACTTCATCTCCTCCTCCTGCTTCACCTCCTGAAGGCAAAGGGATAGAGGTGTTGAGCTGGTGCTGCCCGGGTCCTGGGAAGATCCAGGCTCCTAAATGCCACCGCGATCCCCTGAGAGCTGCTGTCAGTCCCTGGACAGTGTGGGACCCCCTTTCTCCCCTTCTGCCACCCCCAGGTGCTTCCACCCACGGCTCCGGGTCCAGCGCTGGAGATGGAGGTGGACTATTAAGGTTTAACACACTAATGGAAAGTGCTGTGGGGTTTCTAAAAAGTTGAGCCCTGCTTGCAAATCCCCTTAAGAAGGACGAGTCCCTGAACCGAGCACAGCTGCCCCGGCACAGGCTCAGCCAGCGCCGGTGTGACTCATTCCTGGCCGGGCACTGGCGGGCAGTGGCTGGTCCCGTGGTCCTGGCCACCACTCCTGCTGCCCAGATGCTCAACTGCCTTGCAAAGAGCTAAAAATATATGTTGGTGTGAGCAATCGCTATAGCTACGGCAGGGGTTAGCCAAAAAGGGCAGCCGAGCAGTGTCACCGTGACCGGGAGGTGCGGCAGCTCGGCAAAACGGGCAAGACGGAGAGGACAGGCAGGGACAGGCCAGGGCGGGCAGGTTGCTGCTGGTGCCTCCGGTGCAGATCCCCCCATTTCCCATTTCTCCTTATGTTGAAGCTTCATCACACTATGCAGTCCCTAAGAGGGGGTTCACTTTGCCACTTGCGTTTAGGCAGGGGATGAGTGACGAGCGGCTCCCCACTTCTTCCCACCACCCCGCTGCGGAGGGGGACACCAATGTCTCGGCCTCCGGCTGCCCTGAGCACTGGGTCGAGCCCCGGTTCACGCAAGCTGCAAGGGTCCGCGTGATCGTCACGGCCATCTTCTTCTTCTTGGCGGCGGGCAGCAACGCGGCGGTGCTCGGCAGCCTCCTGAGGAAGAGGAGGAAATCCCACGTGCGACCGCTGATCCTCAGCCTGGCACTGGCTGACCTGCTGGTGACAGTGGCCGTGATGCCTCTGGATGCGGCGTGGAACGTGACGGTGCAGTGGTATGGAGGGGACATCTCCTGCAAGCTCCTCAACTTCCTCAAGCTCTTCGCCATGTACGCGGCCGCCCTGGTGCTGGTGGTCATCAGCCTGGACCGGCATGCGGCCATCCTCCACCCCTTCTCCCGTGCTCGCCGCCGCAACGGACTGCTGCTCCGCGCTGCCTGGGCCAGCAGCGTGCTCCTGGCTTCCCCCCAGGTAGGGCTCGGTGCCCTCCCCGCGTGGTTTGACCAGGCTGGGGTGGTTTTGGAGAAGGGCTTCCCCATCCCAGCCCTGACAAGTCCATCCCAACCTACAAACTCCACCACCACCTGATGGGCTTTGCTGAGCGAAGCGGTGTGGTTGCTGTGTTGGGTGGTCAGCGTTGCTTTGCACCTTCCTTATAGCACCCGTTCACTGCTACACCATCAGGGTGTTACGCTGAGGGCTGGGAAAAAATTGTGTCTGCTGTTTTTTATTCTTCATGCACATGGTTATCTTCTCCTAAAAATGCATCATTGCACCACTGCAAAACATGGTGGAGCAGACCAAGACAAACCTGAGCAGTTCTTGACCAAAATAACATTTGGTATGGCCAGAAAATGGGATTTCACAGCGGTCAGTTCCCATCCATTCTGGCCATAGCCATGAGTTAGGCGCCCAGAGCACCTCTCCCAGTATGACAGCAACAGGGAGGTGCACAGCCAGGAGCATCTGCAGGACATGGTGCCCTGTTCCAAAGCCTCTCCGAGTTATTATTTGCTTCTCCATTTCAGCTTTTCCTCTTCCACCTGCATACGGTCCCAGGAGGGAACTTCACTCAGTGTGTTACTCACGGGAGCTTCCGAGCACACTGGGAGGAAACTGTCTATAACATGTTCACCTTCACCACCCTCTACATCACCCCCCTGAGCGTCATGATCATTTGCTACATCCGGATCATTTGGGAGATCAGTAAGCAACTAAAGATCAATAAAGGTAAGCAGGTCCCACCCCTTTAGTGTCCACCATGACTCTATGACTGGACCTGCTCCAGCCTGGAGGGTTGTTGGGTCTGTCCCAACACTTTTTGAAGGGTAACCCAACTAAGGAGTTTTACACAAACTTCTTGACCCCCGCTCCTTGCTGTCTTCTGCTTCCTGTGGGCCATGGACCAGACCATGAGGTGGTTTCCCCTCTCTGGCAGAAGCACAGTCATAGATGGTTATGTTCTCCTGGTTTTCTCCCATCTCCAGCTATTCTTTTGACTGTCCCTGGCAGGTTTGATAAGAAATCAAAATGACCACATCTCCAAGGCACGCATGAAGACTCTCAAGATGACCATAGTGATTGTTGCCACCTTCATCGTCTGCTGGACCCCATACTACCTCTTGGGCTTGTGGTACTGGTTCCAGCCAGCCATGATCCAGAAAATGCCGGAGTATGTCAACCACAGCTTCTTTCTCTTTGGCTTGCTGCATACCTGCACCGACCCTGTCATTTATGGACTGTACACCCCCTCCTTTCGGGAGGATGTGCAGTTGTGTCTCAGGGGCATTGAAACAGCCATCACCAGGCATGAAAGACACAAACCCATCTCAGTCTCAGAGAAGAACATAAAGGATGGTGCTGTAACTGGTGGGGTGGCATCAGGGGGCTCCAATGGGACAACTGTCAACACAGTCTGCTGAAGAGACGTTACCCACAAGGAGGTGGGAAGAACAGCTTTGGGTGCTGCTTTGTCCCACAGGGTCATTCTGGAGACTGTCATAAGGACGTTTGCCACCCAACTTTGGTGGGTGAAGGTCTCTGACCAGAAACTGTGAGTGTGTCTCCTGCCTGTACTCAGGGTGAAAAACATTTGAGGGTATTTATGGTCATTTTTCCATATTCTGGCAGCTCCGTGACAACTAGAAAACCATCCTTTTTGTACCCTGTGCGTGCATTAGCCCTGATTCTGGGATCAAGTATCTGCCATACTTCCAGCATCGACCCCTGGGAGTAGACACGCTGGCTCCTCCATGGTCCAGGGCCACATCTCCCAGGGTGGCCAATCTGTAAGTGCCCTTCGCACCTGCACTGACGTGTAGAGCTACACAGATGCACAGCGCGATGTGGTGTCACCCTGAGAGGCTGCAAACTTGTGATCACAGGCTTTCACTGCATTTTCTCCACCTGCTGTAGGAAAGGCCCTCTGGAAACTTTGGCTCTCCTGACTCAGAGCCCACCTGGTTCTCCCACAAACATGTGTGAAGCCCTGGGAAGGATGTAAATCTTTGGGGAATGACTAATGCAGGGGCATTAGTCCCCCTGGGCTGCCTCCATGGTGAGGAGGGAGAAGGTGCTGTGGGAGAGGGGGGGATTAGGCAAGAGGGGTATGAAGGATCACAGTGGGATGGGATGAGACAGAACGGGTTTTCTTCTCTCTTTTGGACCCAGCCAGAAGGGAAACCAGCCCCTGCTGCCTTGTTCTGGCGTGCAGGGGGTGGTAGGAACACATCCTTACATAGCAGCTCTCTGGGACACAGGATTGACCAGGAGGGAGAGTATTTGGGGTAACCAGAGGATGACATAGCCCAGCCCCTCTTGACTGTCCCTGTCCCCAACCTCTTTCCAGGGCATGAGCTGGCAGGTCTCCAACCACGCGCTGGGCTGTCTCCAGCCGCCAGCATGGGCTGATGGCAGCAAACCCCACACTTTCTCCTCTCTATTTTCCCCTCTCTCGTCTACACACATCTCCTTTACCTTAATGGCTTGACCCAACACCAGCACATGGTCTCTGTCCGAGCAGGGTGGGTGCAGCCACCCCACAGGTGATGCCTGGGGTGTCCCAACAAGGAAGGTGATGGGAACCACCTGTGGGTGGAGGGGCCCATCAGCACCCATGGGTACCAGGAGGGTGCTGATGCTCCTTGGCGGCATTGTGAGGGCAAGGGAGGCTGCTGGAGGGGATCAGCTGAGCTGTGGTGAGTCAAATGGATTTTTTGCTTTTTATCAACGTGCCAGAAGCTGCTTGTGAAGGTGGAGGCCTCTTCTCTGAGTGTGGGTTGAAGAGGTGGCTTTATTCAACTGTGTTGTTCCCTTCTGTGTAACTAGATAAAGTGGATTATTTCTTTTCTCATTCTCTGCTGATTGTTATTAAATGCATTTTTTGCTTTTGAATATAAATTTAGTTTTGGGCCAGGTGGGACTATTTTTTTTTTGGTTTTGTGAAATCTTTGGGCAGCTCAGGAGCTCTGGACTTGGCAGGAGGCTGTTCCCTGGACATTTTTGTGGCGACTGCAGTTTTGAATGAGCATCTGGACTTTATCGGGATGAAAGAGCTTTGTTTTAAAAACAATTCTTGACTTGCTGTGCTTGCGTGCTTCGGGAAGCTGGGAGGTGTCTACCCGCAAGAAAGCAAATCTCCTTTGGGCACCGAGGGGGCTTTCTCAACCCTCTCTCTAAGAGGAGAGGGATCCCCATCAATCAGAAAGCATCTGGACTGGTCTCCCAGTGCTCCAGCTAACAAATTATTAAAATTGGAGAGGTGGCAAGCAGCATTCACAGGTTGGCTGAGGCTGGGCAGCGAGGATACATGAAGCCACAGTGCTCAGGGTGATGCCAAGCTGTGGACGGGTGTCGAGCACTTGCCTTTCCCCATGCTAAGTATCATTTATGCTAAACATGCTGCCCAAGGAGAAAAAAAAATTAAATTAAAGCTGCAGGAGCCCAGACCGGCTGGTGGGGATTAGCGTGAGCCCTTTAGGAAGCATCCAAACTCCAATGAGATGCGTAATCGCTGTTTGGCTTTCCTGGGCTCGTTCCGCTCGAGGTTAATTACGCAATGCTAACGGGAGCGGGGCTCGCGGCTGCCAGGCTGGCTCGGCTCGACCGGCGCAAGAAAGCGTTTCTTGTAAGGTGATGGGAATGACTTGTGGTATGGGAAGCTAATTTATTCGTCAGACACTCATTTGGTCTCTCTGTTTATATTACTGATGACGGCTAATGGGAGGCAGACCTTGAAGGTGTGTTGGTTTTCTGGCAAACCTCAAATAAGCAGGAAAGCGTCTTTAATCTCCGAAAAACATTCTTCATCTGCTTTCCGCTGAGTGGGAGAGAACAGGTCCAGCGTCGCTCACACACTTAAGGCCACTTGTCCCCTCTTGCCCAGCAGCAGGAGAGCTTGCAGATGTTCTCTGAAGAGCAAGAAGCACTTTTTACCTTGTGGCAGGAACCCACCACCTTTACGCCCCATGGATACAGTGAGAGAGCAGAAGGAGGTTTGGCTTTAGGCGAAGAGTAGGACATGGCAGGGATACGTACCTTGGTCCTCAGGGGAAGCACGGCACATCCCTGGGGATGCTTGCAGGCACCCCAGCGCTGCTCCTTCTGCCCACTTCTTGGGACTTTGCCTCTTGTCGCTGGTGCTCAAGGCTGACATTTTGGGAAGCCTGGAGCGTGGGCAAGGTGCCCAAAGTGACAGCTTTCGTGATAGAAGGAAAATGTCTTTAGAAGCGGGTGCTGCCAGGCCGTGCACCCAACAAGTGTGTCTGTATTATATATATATAATATATAGGTAGATATAAAAAAATACTGAGATTTATACATACAGTATTCATTTCCCTTTACAGGAGGAAAATTCTCCCGCTTCCCCAAAATCTGCCCATTCCCCCCTGGGAAACACCAGCTGCCACGCTTCTCCTTGCAGTCACAGAGGGATCTGATGCCTCTGACTCGGTAACGGTTCCTTAATATTCACAACAGCAATTCATATTAATATGAACGAACTTATTAATGAGCACAGGTAGCTCTATATTTTACAACCCCTCGACCTCACCCTGGGCCGCCTGCTTCACACACAGCAATCCTTTGTTCGGGAGGAAACTCTGATTCACTCCCCATTAGCATTTTTATCGTACTGTGCGTGTTCAAAGAGCCACGCAAGTGGCTTAAGAGGTTAACGCGAACCTTGGGTTAATTCATAATACTGTTAGTTACTCAGCACAATGCTCGCATTAATTCGGCTGACTGCATCTCGCCACGTTGGGAAACACATGCTGAGATCAGCAGGGAGCACGGAAAACAAGCGTGGGAGTAGGATATTAAGTATTTTGCTGGCCCGCTAAGGTAGAATCTGAGCACCTTGAATGTATTTATTTTCCCATTGCCGTTGAGGACAGCATTACCTCTCTCTGCAGACGTGGAGCTGGAGTGCTGAGGCTGTGCCCTGTGTCCCTGAAGTCCTGGGAGCGCGAGGAACAGGGCTACAAGCCCTCCGAGGGGCACTTGAGACAAGTCCATGGGGTGTCAGCCCCTACCTGCAGCTGCCCCTTGGTGTGGGTCTATTTAAACTGGAAAAAAAAAAAAAAAAAAAGCCAATTTTTCCCTTCGATAGCTGCTGATTTGATTGCAGTGCCAGACTGCACGTGTCTGCCGTGAGAGCCCCCGCAATACTTTTCTCTCAGGGCATATCGCCTGGTGCAGAAGATCAGCTTGGGAACTAGCTCCCTACA